CTTTTATAGATGAAAGGCTCATCTGGCATACAAAATTATAAGCCTGGTATCTTGGATGAGTTTTCTTTTTCTTGACAACAACAATCACAAGATGAGTCTTATCGGCAAAGTAAACGATTGCTGAGATGTCACCGACACCTTTGGGCGACCTACTGAATCTGAAGCCATCTTCCATCTTTAAAAGAGATTAAGATGTTAAAGTGTTGATTTTTTTGTCTAATGCATTGTTTCATTATAATTCTACAAATAATAACAGCTTGTCTTACACATAATACAAATGTTTTTCATTCTATGAGGTTGTTAGAATCTGCTCCGTCTTAATGAATGTCACCTAACTTGGCAGGGGATGGTTCAAGGTCATTGTTTTGTCTTGTGAAAGATGATGAATGAGAAGTTAAAGAGGAAGGTTAGGAGGATCATGAATTAGGAGGGGGGAATGAGGTTCAGCAAGGGTGATTAATTGATTGATTGTTGGTTGGTTAGCGTCCAGTGGGAATCAGCAAGGGTGAGGACAGTTTTAAACGGTATATTGGTGAATTCATTTTGTTAAAAAGTAAGGGACTTTAGGTACAGGAAAATTTGGCAGACTTAGGAAATATAGGTACTATTCTTTTCAATTCTGTGTGTGTGTGCACCGTGCCCACCACTCAGTAACAAGCCTAAATGATTACCTGAACTTCAATTTCTGACTATTATATACTATAAAGGTGGCTGTAGATCAGTTAGTGAGGTTTCTTTCAATATTGATTCAATTAGGTATAAATGAGTAGAAAATAGTGTTGCAGGAATTAATTAGAAAGTTCTTCAAGTATTTGAGCTTGCAACCAGCTAAAATTGCCACCTTATATAATGCTATATCTATCACAATAGGGAAAGAAGGTTTGTGACATACAAATGTATCAATACATGACACTGAGTATCCAGAAAGGCATTTGGAAAAAACTTAAATTAAAGGAAATGTGTTTTTATTGCTGTTATTCATCTCAAATAAACAGTTGACATATATAGCAAACCTCATTTTTTGGGGGAATTCAAAATAAAATGTGTATAGATTTTTGCAATTTTTTAAATGCTATAAAAGATGAAGAAATCATGGTTTATGTACTTATGTGATTTTTATATAATTAAGAATTGTACATTAATCTTCAAAGGAAATTCAAATACCGATAATCCCAATGTCTACAAGATGAAGTAGATTTGATTGTTTGTTGTTTTGCAGTGCTTAAAGCAGTTCTTTGAAAAATATGGCATTTACATAAATAAGTCAGTTAAAAATTGTGAACTTTATAAAATCTGACCAACATCAAACTTTGACCTTGTAAATCAGAAGAATGGCAGACAATTAAATTATATTTAATCCTCCAGAAAAGATATAATTTAATCATTTTATCTCATTTTATTTGTTTCTCCTTTTGATTTGTCAGAATGCACCAAAAAAGAAATAGAAAATTTTGATTCAGTCAGAGTCAATTCAATGTTTGAATAATTGAGTGGAGACCTTATCATTTCAAGCCTCATTGAGAGTAAATTAGACAGATTACAATTTTACTAATTTGTTTTATACTGTTCATTGAAATTTCTTCAGTGATTTGCCAGAAACAAAATTGAACGACTTTTAGATTAGGTTTGAATTAATTAAATTCAGTAACCTATTAATTAAAAAATGCTTGGTATTTAATTTTTTGCAAATAAGAAATGTTTGATGGCATGTGAACTATTCTTTCCTTTCTTCATCAGAAGCCAATATATATACCAAGAAGGGCAGAATAAATGGACATAAACTAAAATTTTTGTTGTTTAAAGTTTAAAATACTAAATATAAAGGTAAACTTAAATTTTGTATGCCAAATTGAAAATAGTATATGCTTACCCATTTTTAGATTTTTTTAAAACAAAATCTTTTGACATATTCCTTATTTTATAAAAAATGATATTAGAAAAATAAGCAGAAAATTGGGATTTTGTGAATCTTTTTTTACTAAAATTAGAATACAATTAACTCTACAACCATTAACCAAAAATTTCTTTTGCTATATATATATATATATGCATCTTTCTCATACAAATAGAAAGCTGTTTTGTTAGCTACCAACATTTAGACAGTTAATATTCATTTGGTACATTTTGCCTCTCTTTTATTATATCTCTTAGAGGAGTATTCAGGTGGCTTACTGCAAGGCAAATTTTTGCTTTCCCCAACATGTTCTCTTAATTATTTCAGTGGCAATCCAAATAATCCACACTTAATTCATCTTGCTAGACTCACATTGCAAAACCCTGGTAACCTCTCTGATTTGTTGTTAATTTGTTCTTGTCCTAAACATGCATGGAATATTTGCCACTGGACATTAAGCAAACAACAGTCAATCAACCAAGAAAGGTTACTTAGTACATGTGCTTTCCTTAACTAGAGGGGGCCTCAGTGGCCGAGTGGCCTAAGTAGTTCATCTACTGCGATCACTAGCCTGTCAACACTCAGAGGTTGTGAGTTCAAAACTCAGCACTGGTTATCTCTAAGCACTCCGGCTTCCTCCACCAATAATAACTGACTGCCATGATATAGCCAACAGTGCCGAAAGTGGCATTAAACAACATCAATCAATCAATCAATCCTTCCTTAATTAAGAGTGTTAACTTTAGGTAGGGCTGGCTACTGTATGTGAATACTTTGTAATAATTTTAAAAATATTCAGGTTGCTGTAAGAGATAAATCCAGATTGAAGATTTGAGAATCTTTTTGTAATTAGAAATCATTGTATTGTAAATATTTTGAAGACACCCACATGCCTTTTCTGACGCTTGAGCAGCATATGTTTTTACATAGCATCTGTGGAAAACAGTGAAAACATATGACTTGGTCAATTAAAACTTATTTTTGTGTGTCAGCTGTTGTACCTGTGAACTTTTGGTATCCTTATAGCTTACGTACATTATATATACTGAGCATGCATGCTCTTCGTTTATTGGATCCAGTTATGGAGTGTTCATTTGTTAAAATAATTTCTCCTACACTCAATTAAGGCATAAAAGTGGTTAATTTTTACAACACAGAGTGTGTGTTTTACTGCAATCCTTTTGTCCTTCTTTTCATCTGTCTGTAACTTTTTTAACTTGAAACTCAGCTTCTGAATAAAGGAATGATTGATATAATTTGTAAGAAGACATTTTATCCATTACTACCACATAGCCATGTGTCTTCTTTGGTAGTTATAGATTATCGATGGTTTTTCAAACGAGAGGGTGTTTATCATATTCAATCTCATCGAAGGGCGATTTTAATAAGCCCTGAGATGAGATGAAGCTGAGAAACATCCTCGAGTTTGAAAGACCATTGATAATCTGTTTATTGCTATTTTGCCTATGACATCGTTGATGTTTTCATTGACAACGTCACTTGCGCCCTAAGTTTCTGGCGATAATTTTCCATCTCAAGCGAGTAGTGTGATATAACAAATTATCACAAAAAAAGATCAAAGGAAAAATACACAAAATAGCGATGAATGTTTATATCACAAATTCATCAAAGAATATATATAGATTTAACTCTTGCTATACAGTGAAATCTCTGAAGTTCAACCTTCCAGCAAACATCTAGATGAAGTATTGTAATAAAAGGGCTGTTTTATTAAAGGCAAAGTATTACTAGACCTAATATTCAAAATAAAATCTAGTGCCTTAAAACAGGCCGATAATGGAGTTATCCAACAGAAAACTGTAGAATCTATTATTAGTAAAAAAAAAAAGTTGATAATCGTATTAAGATGAAAAAGATTTTAAAACATAAACATGGCCAAAGGGAGGTAATTCAGATTCACTTTTATTTAATCTTCACATATGTTTATTGTTAGAGAGGAGATTTTGAACAAATTTCTATTGAAATCCAGTTGTTTTAAGTTTCTCTTCTCCATAAACCTCTTGTTATTATAATGTAATTCTTTGTAGTCAGGAACTCTACCACTTTATGTTATCAATTTAAAGATTTAAAGAGTGGGTAAATTGATTGAAACTTAATGATTTCTCTTTCATGATGATAGTTTCTTAGAGTGTTTGAAGTGGAGTGAATCTTGAACCCTAAAAAAAGAGTGTACATCCATTTAAGTATTGTAATTAATTCTTAGTGCCAAAGAGCAAACCATAGCTTAATGCTCCCAAATTATACTGAAAGTTAAAGTAGCAATTATTTATGGTTTAATTGTCACAAAGTTGCTAAATAATCCATCATGATGCAATTGAAAAGCAAGTTAATGCGTATTAAAAACAATTCTCATTGTCAAATGCCATACGTCGACCTATAATTGCTTATATCTTCGTCATTTGAACTCCGATGGATAGTTGTCTCATTGGCAATCATAACATATTTCCTAATTTTTATTTGAGACAGCAAGGTAATACAATACAATACAAGTTCATCAAAGATTAACATCTAGAAGTCATCAGACAGTTTTCAATGATGGAAATGCGCCCACAGTGTACGGCAAGCTCTAAATCACTAAAATAATGTAGACTTATGTGTAAAAAGTGTGTTTGGTAGAGTGGAGATTCCCTGTTTTAACTTGACAACCACTCAAAGAGAGTGCACTCCTTATTGTAAGCCTGTTTTAACTTGACAACCACTCAAAGAGAGTGCACTCCTTATTGTAAGCCTGTTTTAACTTGACAACCACTCAAAGAGAGTGCACTCCTTATTGTAAGCCTGTATTAACTTGACAACCACTCAAAGAGAGTGCACTCCTTATTGTAAGCCTGTTTTAACTTGACAACCACTCAAAGAGAGTGCACTCCTTATTGTAAGCCTGTTTTAACTTGACAACCACTCAAAGAGAGTGCACTCCTTATTGTAAGCCCTGGGTAGTTGTTACTTGACCATGGGTCATGTTTTACTGAATGGACATTTCAAACCAGCTGTAGAGAATATTTCCTTCATATTTCACAGTTTTTTTTGTATAATCACATAATTTTTTTCTTTTCTGAAAGTTTAAATATTATTTTTCTATTTTCAGGGCGGTAATGCCTTATCTGTTACCAAATCAGGACCAGCTTCTGGAGGAGCACCACCACCACCAGGTGGTGCTCCACTCCCACCACCTCCACCACCCCCACCAGCTCCCACTCCTGAGGCAGGTGATAATAATGGAGGAGATGACAGCAGGGCACAGCTGTTTGAAAGTCTTCAGAAAGGAACTGATATTACTAAAGGTTAGTACATATATATATATAAGTAAAAGTTAGAGTTACTGCTCTTAATCACAAAAAGGAGGGCCATTTAAAATCTGAAACCACAGGAGGAAAAATGAAGACAGCAATAGCCAAACTGAAAAAGACGTAAAAAAAAACCACAAAAAAGTAAAAAAATATGAAGAATCTAAAAGAACACACAAATTTAGTGTCATAAAGGTTACTGGGCACCCTATATCTGCCCCTTAATTGACAATAAATTGAAGCATGGGATTGAATTAGTGTCATAACGATTACTGGGCACCCTATATCTGCCCCTTAATTGAGAATAAATTGAATCATGGGATTGAATTAGTGTCATAAAGGTTACTGGGCACCCTATATCATCTGCCCCTTAATTGAGAATAAATTGAATCATGGGATTGAATTAGTGTCATAAAGGTTACTGGGCACCCTATATCTGCCCCTTAATTGACAATAAATTGAAGCATGGGATTGAATTCACATTAAGGCTATTCCATTAAAATGTATGTGAGAGGGTAGGAAGGAAAGTTTGATTATTGAATGTGGGTCATGGGTCTTTTTTCAATATGTGTCTATTACCATTATGCAAAATTATCTAAAAAATGGTTCTTGGTTGTAGGGATATTTTTAAAGTCCCTTCCTACCCTCCCACATACATTTTAATGGAATAGCGCTTACCATTGTCAGTTTACATTCAACTAGAACACACCCGCTACATCGCGGATCTGTGACTGAATTAAAATACCTATGCCTTTTTTTTAATCCTGGATTTTTAGTATTCGTATTGTCATCTGATAAAGTCATGCTGATTGTAAGGTGTACACTTTTCCCTCCTTCAAAATCTGTCTGTTTTCTTACTACAATAAACTTACTATAAACTAAATTAAATTTTTTAACTAATTAACCAAAATTAATAGTGGTATTGAGGTGGAAGAAAACAGACTTGTTAAATAGTGTACTATAGTGTAACATAGATATAAAACAACTACTGGAAGAATTCCAGGTTCTCCTGATAGAGGAGGTGTTTACAGAAGGTAACGGGTAACTACAACCGGAAACTACATGTGACGTATACTATTGGTATCGGTATCGGTTTCGACCCTGAACTTGTTAATTATTGGTAATATTAATTATGTGGAAAACAAAAGGGCCTGGAATGGTGTAATTTTTAAACAACACCATTATCCTATATTAGTTATATTCTTTGATTCGTCATTTTTACGTAATGCGGGCTTACAAATTGGACCTCGTTATTTTAGTAGTATAGATATTGATATTTACCATACTGACAGCCATGTTGACAAGTAGATATATATTTCAGGATTGAAGAAAGTAACAGATGATATGAAAACACATAAGAATCCCAAACTTCGTGAAGGCCCAGCCCCATACAAGGCCACACAACAGGGTCCAAAGCCTTACTCTAAACCTACAGCACCAGCTACAGCAGTCAAGCCAGTAGCCAAGCCTGTAGCAGCTGATAAACCACCAGTGTTTGAATTACAGAATAAAAAATGGGCCGTTGTAAGTAACTCAATTTTGATATCATAAAGTAAGATTTAATATTGTTATGTTGGCCGTGGAGGGGGGGAGGGGGTGTACCTGTTTTGTGTAATCAACTCCTCCTACAGTTTTTAAACATGATTTGTGAAACTTCACAGAAAGATTGCACATATGTTAAAGTTGTGCTATTGTGGAATTGTTTGATGAGTATTTTTCTATTTTTCCAGACTTAGTTTATACAGGGCAAAATTGACAAAAGACAATTCATATTTTGTGAAATCAACTCCTACCTCAGTTTTCAACCTAGATGCCTGAAACTTCACAGACATATTGCACATGTGTTGAAGTTGTGCACCTGCTATTATGCAATTGTTTGAAGAATGTTTTCCTATTTTTTCAAGACTTTGAAACTTTTTTTTTTGGCAAAATTGACAAAAGACAAAACATATTTTGCGTAATCATCTCCTCCTACAGTTTTCAACCCTGATCCTTTAAACTTCCCAGATAGATTGCACACATATTGTAGTTGTGTACCTGCTATTATTGAATTGTTAGAGGAATTTTCCAAACTCAAGAACTTGGTCATTTTTTCAGCAAAAATTTCAAAAGATGGTACCAATTTTTGTTTTGAATGAAGATCTTTCGGACTTCAAAGAAAATTTGCAAACCTATTGAAATTGTGCTCCTTCCATTATGGAGTTGTTTAAAGATTTTTTCTATTTTTTGCATTTTATATGAAAATGTTCAGTATAGACCATTCGCTTTAGTTTAACACTTACCATGCTGAATTGTTTTCAGAAAATGTATAATTTTAGTTTATTTGCAAAAATATACAAATTACATGCAAATGAGCTTTACCCTGCTGCTGATGCATATTGATTCCTTTAAATCTAAGATAGGGGATCACGGGGTGGCGTGGTCGGGGTGAGGAGGCAGGGGTGGCTGGGCAGGAATTTGCCCCAAAGTTGGTCATCAGGTGCAAAAAGCGTCAATCTTGACAAGTTTTTCGTCCTATTTCTTGACCAGGAAGACCGAGGGATGCTGATAGATGTATCTTACTGTAGTCTGCATGTAGAGTGGACCCCAGTGAACACATTAATCACAACAAAGCTTAGGTCGGAGTCAAACTGATCTTGGTACAGCAGTCTAAAGAAGGTCATCTGCACCAAAAATCCAGAATTTCTTGATTTTTCACGTTTTTTAGCTTCAACTGGACCTGCAACCGGAAGTAGTCATTCACTAAGTGGATTTCAATAATAAACACGATCAGTAGTTATATTCCCGCGGATTTACACTATTTTTTAAAGTTTTAGTCCTCTGAACTGCGTGTGTCTGATACCGATGTGAAGCCCACCCCTCCAGAAAAACCAGTTTTATTCGATTTCAATTTTCCAAATTTGTATTTGCTCTGAAAATGCACCTTTAACTTGAGAAACATGACAATGAATAGCGTCAGGTTGAGGGAGCATGCATCAAATTCGAAATTAATGTCATATAGTTGACCTCTAAAAGTATGGAGAGCCATTGGAGCCAAATAACGGTAGTTTGGGTAATCTCGTCATATGACGGTCACCGCATGGTAAGGGTTAAGAAGCATTCTGAGCATCCAAGCCATTGAGTCTTTGATCTATTTTAATATACTGTAAATCAAATTATATTCTTAGATACTTTATTTCGTGTTTAGCCTTTTCTAACCCACTTTTCTGCATTCAATTTCATGACTGTCAAATCTACTTGATGTAGTTGAATAAGGAAAGATCCAAGTTTTACATATTCATAACGATTTATATTCTTGTTATTTATCTACTCATGAAAATAAATCATTCGCAAGAATTAGTTGGTTTACAGTACCCTATTATGTTGATTTAACAATTTGAAATGAAAATTCTAAGATATTTATGCCACCGTCGCAGCAGAGGGGACATTAAGTGTTACCCTTGTCCTTTCTCTAACTAACAAATGTTATGAAACTTATACTCAATGCTTATTACCATAAAACTCAGATCAAGTTCGAATTTGGGTGGTGTCACTTTTACCGTTCTTGAGTTATGTCCCTTTATAACGTTATATACAAGCAGGGGCATCATCTGTGTCCCATGGTCACATTCTCCATTTATTTTAATCATGTCATATTTCTGTTTTCAGGAATACCAAAAAGGCAACAAAAACATTGTTATAGATAATACAGAGTTAAAACAGACAGTTTACGCCTTTAAATGTACTGATAGTACAATCATAGTCAAAGGAAAGGTCAACTCTATTATCTTAGGTAAGAAAAGTTCAATATTATAATACATAGGTAAGGAAAGGTCAACTCTATTATCCTAGGTACAGAAAAATCACCTCTATAATGGTAGGAAGGAAAAGTCACCTCTGTAACGGTAGGGAGGGAGGAAAAGTCACCTCTGTAACAGTAGGGAGGGAGGAAAAGTCACCTCTATAATGGTAGGGAGGAAAAGTCACCTCTATAACGGTAGGGAGGAAAAGTCACCTCTCTAATGGTAGGGAGGAAAAGTCACCTCTCTAATGGTAGGGAGGAAAAGTCACCTCTATAATGGTATGGAGGAAAAGTCACCTCTATAACGGTAGAGAGGAAAAGTCACCTCCATAACGGTAGGGAGGAAAAGTCACCTCTATAACGGTAGAGAGGAAAGGTTACCTCTCTAATGGTAGGGAGGAAAAGTCACCTCTCTAATGGGAGGGAGGAAAAGTCACCTCTATAACGGTAGAGAGGAAAAGTCACCTCCATAACGGTAGGGAGGAAAAGTCACCTCTATATTGGTAGGGAGGAAAAGTCACCTCTCTAATGGGAGGGAGGAAAAGTCACCTCTCTAATGGGAGGGAGGAAAAGTCACCTCTATAATTGGAGGGAGGAAAAGTCACCTCTTTAATGGTAGAGAGGAAAAGTTACCTCTCTAATGGTAGGGAGGAAAAATCACCTCTCTAATGGGAGGGAGGAAAAGTCACTTCTCTAATGGGAGGGAGGAAAAGTCACCTCTATAATGGTAGGGAGGAAAAGTCACCTCTATAATGGTAGAGAGAAAAAGTGACTTATATTACGGTAGAGAGAAAAAGTCACCTCTTGAATGGGAGGGAGGAAGGAAAAGTCACCTCAATAATAGACCTTATCGCTATTTGGGACTCTGTATCACTTGACCAGAGAATTTGCGACACTTCAACTATTGACATCGTACAACAATCACTATTCCTTTGTTGCATCAGACATTTTCTATTGTGAGGTCAAAATTTTACAGGAACCTTTGTGATTTCCAGTAATGGCGGTCAAATCTCTGTTATATCCTATCAAAGGAATAGTCAACTCTGTTATCCTATCAAAGGAAAGGTCGTCTCTGTTATCCTATCAAAGGAAAGGTCAACTATGTTATCCTATCAAAGGAAAGGTCAACTCTGTTATCCTATCAAAGGAATGGTCAACTCTGTTATCCTATCAAAGGAAAGGTCAACTCTGTTATCCTATCAAAGTAATGGTCTACTCTCTTATCCTATCAAAGGAAAGGTCACCTCTGTTATCTCAGGTAAGAAAAGTAACCTCTATTTTCCTAGACAAGCAAAAGTTAAATCTTTTATTCTACGGAAGAAAAAGTAAGCTCTTTTATTCAAGTTGAGAAAAGGTTAAATCAATTAATCCTAGATGGACTATTTCTTGTCTTTTGTGTTTTTAATTATAAAAATAAGAAGATGTGGTATCATTGCCAATGAGACAACTCTTCACCAGAGACCAAATGACATAGAAGTTAACAACTATAAGTCACCCTACGGCTTTCAATAATGAGCAAAACCCATTCCGCATAGTCCGCTATTAAAGGCCCCAAAATAACAAATGTTAAACAATTCAAACAAGAAAACTAACAGCCTGATTTAAGTACTAAACAGTGAACTATAAACAAATATGATCAGGGGCGGATCCAGCCATTTTTATACGCCCGTCAAGTTTTTGACGGGACGTATTATGTTATACAAATGTCCGGCGTCCGTCTGTCTGTCCGTCTGTCCGTCTGTCTGTCCGGCGTAAACATGTCGCACCGTAACTTGAGAATGACTTATCCAAATTTCATGAAACTTAACATAGTTGTTTCTTATGATGGTCAAACGATCTGTATACTTTTTGGTGAAAATAAGATTAAAACTTTTTGAGTTACGGGACTTAGTAACTAAAACAGGTGTGTGTTTTTTTTCACATGTCGCACCGTATCTCAAAAACAATTTATGATTATTGCTTAAAACTTTACACACTTCTTAGTTATATTAATCTTAAGATCTGTATACTTTTTGGTGATGATTCAAAATTTTATTTTTGAGTTATTGAGTATTTTGTTAAAAAGGGGGAGGGGTTTTTCACATGTCGCGCCGTATCTCAAAAATGATTTATGATTATTGCTTAAAATTTTACACACTTCTTAGTTATATTAATCTAAAGATCTGTATACTTTTTGGTTTTGATTCAAAATTTTATTTTTGAGATATTGATTTTTTTTTTTAAAAGGGGTGTTTTCACATGTCGCGCCGTATCTCAAAAACGATTTATGATTATTGCTTAAAATTTTACACACTTCTTAGTTATATTATCTAAAGATCTGTATACTTTTTGGTTTTGATTCAAAATTTTATTTTATAGATATTGAGTTTTTTGTAAAAAAAAAAAGAGGGTTTTCGCATGTCACGCCGTATGTCAGAAACTATTTATGCTTATTGCATAAAAATTCACACACAAGACGACGGGCGTATCATGCGCTCATGGCGCAGCTGTTTATTAAAAGGGGGGGTTCCAACCCAGGAGAAAGGGCGGTTTCCAAATATATGTCCCCATTCAAATGCATTGATCGTCAAACAAAAAAATGGGGTTCCAACCCCTGGAACACCCCCCCTTGGATCTGCCACTGATGATATACAGCAACAAACAACAACCACTGAATTAAACCACAACCTTGTCTGTCCTTCTTTCAATTCAACTGTTATATCTCCTTGGTATCTACTTATTTTTTAATAAAAAAAAAACAAATTCAGGACTAAATGAACCTGTTAAAGTTTCAGCACAACCAAAAATAGAAATTGAACCCATCTATGTAATATTTCAAAAACTGAAACTAAAAAAATATCACTTTCCTTTTATTACTGAAGTTAAACTTTTATCAAATGTATAAATGTGGATTGTGTTTAATCATATGAATAAAGGTGGACTGTGTTTAATCATATGTATATACATTGTATGTACTGTGGATTAATTTATTTTTGTGAATTAAGGAAAACTTACATGTTTGTGGATATTTAATTTCGTGATTTTGCATACAAACCTATAGAAAATTTGTCATTCGTTGAACATTTAATTCCGTGGTTCACCTGTACCCACGAAATCCATGAAAATTTGTATCCAACAGATAATAATGAATCCTCAGTACTTCACATAGGACAACAATATTATTATATCTCTCAAATAAATAATCTTTATTTTAACAGATAGCTGTAAAAAAGTAGGAATAGCGTTTGATGATGTTTTAGCCTCATTAGAATTTGTCAACTGTCAGAGTGTTAAAGGACAGGTAAGAGTTATCTTTCTTACATTGCTTTGCTGTATATAATATCTAATTTATTATTCTTCCCCATTTACAATTCTGGGATTTTACAAGTAGGTATGCTGCTAAAGTTATTTTATAGACAATACAAAAGACTGGGTTTATTGTTAAAGACTGCATATTGATGGATATCATTTTCATGTGTTGTTGGATTGCTGCATTGTTTGGGAATATCAAGTCATCTTTTATTTAGTGTCAATCCTTTTGGCTATCATTTGGGTGTTGAGGTTTAGTAGTTGACTGGAACAGATTTCCCGTAATTAGAACAAAAGATTGCGTTTTAAATGTTCATATTCACATAACATGGATGTTTAATGAGATCCTGGGAGACAACAAGCATGAGGCCTGCCAAAATTAGATTTTATTTCCTAATAGCAGGCGATATCTATAACAATAAAAATAGGAAGATATGGTATGATTGCCAATGAGCAACCAGAGACAAAATGATGTAAGAGTTAGCAACTATAGGTCACCATACAGCCTTTAACAATGAGCTAAACCCATACCACATAGCAAGCTTATATAGCCCTGAAATGACAAATGTAACACAATTCATACGAGAAAACTAACAACCTCATTTATGTACAAAACAATAAAGGAAAAAAAATTCGTAAGGGTTCCACGGAACCCAGTGTCTCGCCTACTTTTGCTGTCAATCGCAGGCTCAACAAAAATGAGAAAAAAAAATAATAAAAATATTCCTCTCTATACTATCTTTTGATTGTAAGTAGCTTCTGTCCAAGTTTGGTAAAAATCCAGGATAGTTTATGAATCTAATAAATGTTTTAAAAACTTAAACTGCAGACTGTATGTAATGTTAACTGGAAGAAAAACTAAGTCCATTTATAAGTAAAATACAGAAAAAATGGAACAAAATTTTAACAAAATTTCCTTCTAGATACTAGCTTTTAACTTGAACAATCTTCTGTCCAAGTTTAGTACAAATCCAAGATAGTTTAAGAAAGTTGTTAAAATTTGAAAAACTTTAACCACAGAGTGAATGTAATGTTAACTGGCAGAAAAACATAAGTCCAGTTATAAGTAAAATACGGAAAAAATGGAATTTTTTTTTTTACAAAATTTACTTCTGGATACTATCTCATGATCATAAACAAGCTTCTTTCCAAGTTTGGTAGAAATCAAGGATAGTTTAAGAAAGTTATTAAAATTTCAAAAACTTTAACCACAGAATAAATGTAATGTTTCCTGGCAGAAAAACTAAGTCCATTTATAAGTAAAATACAGAAAAAATGGAATTTGTTTTTTACAAAATTTACTTTTGAATATTATCTTATGATCATAAACAAGCTTCTGTCCAAGTTTGGAAGAAATCCAGGATAGTTTAAGAAAGTTATTAAAATTTCAAAAACTTTAACCACAGAGTGAATATTTGTGGACGCCGCCGACGACGGAATGTAGGATCGCTATGTCTCGCTTTTTCGACAAAAGTCGAAGGCTCGACAACAAATATGATAAACACTAACAAACGACAACCACTGAATTACAGGCTCCTGACTTGGGACAGGCACACACAGAATGTGTTTGGGCGCCAACCCTCCCCTTGAATGTTCTTTCCTGACAACAGTACAAAAATGCAAAGGAAAACAAACGAAAAGCTGGATATTATCTCCCCTCAAACAAGTTAAAAAAACTCCCTGTCAGTAAAAATATTTTTCTGAAGTTAACCAATGTTAACAGCAGCATGGAATATTACCGCAACTATTCTGTTATTACATAAAATGCAGTTGACTGGTGACGATAAATGGTCCTCGACCAGAAGTGTACAATAGTTCTGACAAAAATGATGACAATGGGAGTGGGCAATATTTAGGTTACATATTTGTATATTTTTCAGGTTCAAGGAACTATGCCAACAGTCTCTATAGATAAAACTGATGGATGTATGATTTACTTAAGTAAAGATTCACTCAACTGTGAAATTATAACATCAAAATCCTCTGAAATGAATATACTAGTTCCTAAAGATGATGGAGACTTTGTAAGTTGACGCTTTTAAATTGGTACTGTGTTGGTTGAATATTTATTACTTTATTATTAGCTCTGATCATTATAACCAGAATTAAGTTGTTTAAAAGAACTTTTATGTATATAAAATTGAGAATGGAAATGGGGAATGTGTCAAAGAGACAACCCGACCAAAGAGCAGAAAACAGACTAAGGCCACCAATGGGTCTTCAACACATTGAGAAAATCCTGTACCCGGAGGTGGGCTTCAGCTGGCCCCTAAACAAAAATGTGTACTAGTTCAGTGAAAATGGACGTCATACTAAAATACAAAACATATAATTGAACTAAAATTAAAAATCTTACAAGACTAACAAAGGCCAGAGGCTCCTGACTTGGGAGAGGTGCAAAATGTGGCGGGGTTAAACATGTTTTGTGAGATCTCAACCCTCCCCTTATACCTCTGGCCAATGTAGAAAAAACAAACACAAAGCAATACACACAGTAAAACTCAGTTTAAAAGAAGTCCGAGTCCGATACCTGTATAAACAATGTCTTGACAACACCCAAAGCTGTATATTGGGAGAGGAGTGAAATTATTGGATTTATTTCACATGCAAAATTATCAGTTTTGATTTAACTGGGAAATCACAATATTTCATTGTAACCAATATAATAAAAATGTCTCTTATCTAACACTAAGACATCATGAAATTCATAAACTATTTGTCATGTAAATTATTTTACCCTAGGTAATAGATGAACATTGCCTGCTCAGTGATAACTTTTAAATTGTATACCATCCAAGTTTTTAACAATTAAAAAAATTGATACAAAACGTCAACTCCATCAGCCACATAAATTGACGAAATCCCAAGATAATCGGTAAAAGAGAGCGAAAGATACCAAAGGGATACTCAAATGCACAAGTTGAAAACAAACTGACAATACCATGGCAACAAACAACCAAAACACAAACAAACAGTTATGTTGAACTTAAACAAGTTTGTAGCAAATGATTTTGTTTGTTTTACAGACAGAATTTCCATTACCAGAACAGTTCAAGACGATCTATAACGGCAAGAAGTTTGTTACTAATTGTACAGACAGCATTTGATGAGGAAGTGCCACAAAGGGAGATAACTCATATCAGGCCATTCCAATCACTTTATTTTCTGACATCAGAGCTACGATATAATTTCTGCTCAATAAAAGTATTATTATTTTTACTTTGTACATTTATAAAAAAAAAAGAAGACAAAAATGTTTCATAACACACACTTGATATTTTTGTGATGTAACTTTCTGTCTCGTCTATGCAACAAAAAGATTAAGATTAAATAATGAATTATTAATATAAAATATTTAAAATAGATTGATTAAATTGATATTGAATATTATAGATATGTATGGTGTTATATTCTGCCAAAAAATATATAGAGGGTACAATAAACTTGCACTTTACTTTTTATTCAGTTAAGAAAAAATTGGGAACAATAATCTGTTTGTCACACATGTCACATTACATCAGTAAAAATAGTCCTTTGCCAATTTGAAGACTCTTTCAATCTGGCATAGATCATAGTTTTGGTTGAGCACAATACAAACTTATTTGCTTGCTAATACTTTGATTAAGTTTATTAGAATTACTTACATTTATTCATCTTGGGCTTAATCTTAATTTATGATATTAATCATATTATTATTAACTTATCTCATTTGTATAATTTTATTATCTTCATGATTGTTTTATGTGACATTTTTCGTTGAGTGACATTAGTTTCTGTATAGTAACGTGAAGCGTTTGATGGTGCTAGTATCTTGTTATAAATATAAACTGTGTGACCAGTAGGATAACAATTCATATTGCCATTTTATTTACTTAAGGAAATAATTTTATACCTAAAATATTTAATTACTTAAGTTATAAAATGCAAAAGAATATTCATTTTCTTCTGTGGACAATTTTTTTAAATGCCAATGATATTTTGGTCAATTGTAGAATGAGATAAAAATTCATCATAATGTCTTCCACTATTCAAAAAGAACTTATTCATCATAGTCTCTCTCTATCACTGCTCATCAAATTTTGTTCAGCATTTCCTAATTGTTACTCGATTCAGATAATTGTTGAGTCACAATAAAAATTTTGAAATTATTTTTAAAGTCTTCTTTATTTAGAAAAAAGCTAATGTCAAACAAAGAAATTCATTGCTTGATCTCTATTAATAGCTTACATATTTGACAAAATAGCCAAAGGAGCAAGTCATATTATAACACTTTTATTACAATGTATATTTCACCTGAAGATAATTTTATATGATTCAGTAGACTGTGCAATATAAAAGTGCTATCTGAATAAAAATTATAAATGTATTGTCTTCTTTAATTGTCCCTGGCCAAATTGTGTTGTGTAAGGGTGGTCATCTTTAATTCTTGGGGTTGTGGGTTCAATGTCTGTCAGGGTCTTAAAACAAAGACTTGAAGAAAATTATATCTCCGCTAGCAGTGGGAGCTATATTGCATTCACCTTTTCTATTCTTCCAACAAATACTTTGTCACACTTTTCTCAGGAACAACGGAACAGAATTACTGTAAATTTAGAAATTATCGTGTGCATTTATTATTGCGATTTTTGAAGAATGGACAAAAAAGCGAGATTTATTATTGCGATTTCAGGGAAATCTGCATACAGATATATATATAAACTTCAGAAGGCAAGTTCTTATTAATGCGATACTCGCCCAGTCGCATTATTCGCATTTATAAAAACCTTGCAATAATTTCTGAATTTACAGTACTTTATATTTTGGTCAGCAGCTTGACAATGATAATATGTTATATGTGAGCTCTTATCGAATCTGCCAATTACTTCCTTTTTGCTGGTTCTTTGGATTTTAAAATGTGTTGAATGAAACCATAACATTCTTGTCACACTTTTCTCATGAACTGCTGAACAGAATGACTACATATTTTGTCAGCAACCAGACAGTGATAAGTTGTATGGTGTGAATGCTTTTCTAATCTGGCAAACAACTACTTCATGTTTTCATGTAGATTGATTTACAGGTGGTGGTATTCTTAGCATAGCAATTGTTTCAGCTTCTTTTTGGTATTTGCTGCTTTTCTGCTGAGCATAGAGCATTTAGGAGTAAGAGCAAAGACTGATAGGATCAGAGTCCAAATGATGTCTCTGGTAGGACTTGTTCTTGTGAACTATTACATTTAAAATCCAGCTAAGCATTGTTTTGTCTTGATGTGCACATAATATTATCCACTGGTGACTGGAATTAAAAAGTAAAAAGCGAGGAACCACTTTAAAACATCAATCACTTTTTTTTGGAAGCACATATATAAAATGAGGTTACAACTATTAAAGAACAGATAGTATTTTGTCACCTTCATGGAATCCAAAAGTGAGACTTAATTATGCTGTTTCCAATGGCGACGGCAGCAGCCTCAACAATGTTTTAGTTTGTGATTAGGTCAGTTTATGGAGAACCACTAGTGGTAGGTCAATAATATTTGACATGCAGTTGTGTCAGCATTAGCACATCTCATTTACATACAGATTATTTGGCCCCACCCCCTCAGTCATGGTCTATTGACTTTGAAACTTTTGTTTAAAGGGCGATCATTAGTGGTAGGTCGATGGTATTTGGTATGTAGATGCATTAGCATTGGCACATCTCATTTTCATGGATATTGTTTGACTGCCTCCTCAGTCATGGTCTTGACTTTGAATGTTTTGCATATTTCACATGTGTGAGTCATATGGCATATAAGTTTCCTCTACAACATGGCGGAGACCATCTACCATATGGATCTATCAAGGAGCAAAGCTTACTTTTACTTGCAGAGATCTCGGCACTCTCCCTACACCAGGCATCAGACCTGAAGTCCGTATTTTGACCGATCGTGCCTTAAACATGGAATTTATTGCCAGATGATAAAAGGTGACCATATTTCTATACCTAAGCCAATCCTTTTTGGGTTTTTATTACTTAATATATTTTACTGCAGGGAAATAAAGATATTAATTTGTAAAAACTTTTACTAAATTTAATATTTCAAATAAAGAGATTTATTGTAGAAGTTTGATTCAATAAAAAGTAGTATTTCACACCCAGCTTTTTACGGTTATGTTATTTATAAACCTATATATAACAAGTTTGGGAATTAGTATACACATTTTGTTTTTGCTTAATAGATTTTTTCACAAATTTATGATTGTACTTTTGTTATTCAATCATTGTGTCTAGTATTTGTGGAGATGAACGTCAATTCGCTAAGTTATAGTTGTAAGCAAGACTTAAATTTTCTGTTTGTATTTCTGCATAAGAACTCACTGCAGGTTTGTTCTGTGCATTAGACAAGGTCTTATCTACATTATACATTATCCACCAGCACTCTAAAAACAACGTTTGTTGGTTTGCACAGAGGTCATCGTTACCTTAGTTTAAGTACAAATGACAATTTATGAATTGGAAATAAACCTTTGTTCAAAAACACCCTAAGACAAAAAAGTTTATTAAACCGGCAGATTTTGCTGCGGTTGATGTACATTTATGGATAAACCTTTCAGGAACCTTCAGACAAAAGCTGAGTCCTCAACATGTGAATGATATGGCACATATAGTTGATTATGGATGAACTTTATTTCTATACATGACATCTTACTGTATCAACATTCTGGATTGTTAAGAGTCACTCCCAAAAGGCTTAACAATGTGAAATCTATAGGTAATGGATGTCAGTTACATATCAATGTGTTGTTTCACTGACGGAGATCTATTCTAATACATTATTTCCAACCTTAAAATAATAGTTTTCTGCAGGATTGCATTTAACGTAAAAGCAGTAGATACGTTACTGAAAGTTCTGGATCTTATTTCACTTGCGGAGTATGAAAAAAGTTAGCTTTGGACTTTTAACCACGTTCTTTTTGTATTCTAAATTGATTAACGAATGTTTTATCGAGCCAAGTTTTGTAAGGAAACCAGATCCATATTGGATCTCTTTGCAAAAAGAACAATTATGTTTGCTGTGATTCAAATGGTTAACTTCCAATTGTCTATTAATACTGGGGCCTCGATTGCCGAATGGTCTTAGTAGTTCAACTTCTGTATCACTGTTCTGTCAATACTGAGGTTGTAAGTTCGAACCCCGCACGCGGCAAGTGCGTTTGATTCCAATCTTTTCCTGTCGAAAGGTCGGTCGATGGTTCTCTCTGGAGGTCTGGCTTCCACCACCAATAAAACCCCTCCCCCGATAAAACCATTCTGTTGAAAGTGGCTTTAAACACCAAAAATCAACCAATCAACTTCTATTTGTTTGTTAGCCGAAGCTTATGTAGATAAGGAAGCTTGTATACTTTTATTTATATTTTTATCTTTATTTTGTCAATTGTCAGTTAGTTTTCGATTTATTAACTTGAATGTTCCTTTGCTCTCTCTTTTATACAAATTATTGTAAAGATGGTCAGAGCAGAAAAGGGAAATCGTGCTATCAATGCAAGATACGTTTTGAATACATTTACTTACATGTTTCAAACAAAAAAAAAACGATGAAAAAATATATAGACGTTTTAAGAATCTACTTATTTAATACAGAATAAGGGAGGTAAATCTACCAAGTCCGGTATTAAATATTCTATTTGCATATTGTAGTTGTCTCCCTGACCACCAAAAACAAAATTACGCAGTCAAATTTAATTTCTTATTTTCTTCCTGTTAAACTTTAACTCTGCCCCTTCCCTCCCTCCCCCCCCCCCCCCCCCCCCCCCCCCAGAAGGGGAATGCGATGTAATTCCTGATGCCAACAAGTAACAAGCAAGTGATAAATAAAATTCTACGTATTGTCTTTAAAGATAAGAACTCGATGATTCCATGTTTGTAAAGCATCAAAGTCAATAATATTATTGCGAAATTTGTCTTCTTCTGGCTAATTACCTGTGACAGTAAAGAGGTCAATAACTGCATATTAATAGATGTGATGTCATCTCTGGTTTTCAAAATTTGATATGTAATAAGTAGAAGAAAAAAAAAACGTTTTGCGTAAGTAAAGGATTGTAACTGAACTCAATATAGCCTGTCGACAAGGCAAATTCAAATATTGGCCAGTATCGCGGGGTATATTGACAAAAATAATGAAACATTTGATATATGAGATCTAATGACGTAAGGATTTGATAATAGGTCATTGAAAATTATATAGCCTGATTTTCTGTTTATGATCACGCTTTTAAATAAGAATGTATGAGTGGGTACTTCATGAGTTAATATATTCTGCTGACGGAGTTAATTACAATTACATGTATATACAGGTATCATATAAAAAGGACTTATTAGTTTTCTCAAAACCTTTTAAGCTGCGACTGTTCAATTGCATGCTCCGGTCTTTCGATCATTTATATATAGGTATACAGGATGACTTTCATAGTGCTAGAATGCATTTAACCACAAGGTTTTTGTTGTGGACTAAATACTCAAAGTATTAAGACAAGCTTTTGCATAATGCTGATCGACTGTGTACTGAATAAGAATCAGCTTTGGTTTTTTTAGACCGACCAGGGGCGGATTTAGGGGGGGGGGCGGTGCCGCCCCCCTTTATGGTGCTTATGGAGCTTAATTTATGGTTAATACAGACTTTTTACCGCTTCCAGTACAAATTTTGTATAGTTTGGGGCCCAATGGCCCTTTTTTCAAAATCCTGGATCCGCATCTGCCGACTATATTCACCCAAGACATTAAGTTTTGAAAATTAATAAGTTTGGTAGGTGCAGGTAGTATGAGATCGAGTTCTAAATGCTAATGAATTTTTAGTATTTCAAAGGTCTATACCATTTAATATTAATTACAACTGTTTGCCATCATTTCATCAAATAATCGTCTTCCCACTTTGCTAATATTTTTAAGAAGTAAGAGCTAGAGGGCAACAAATCATAGGATACAGAAGATGGGAATGTATTTTAAAACCAGTATTCTAGTGTTAGAAAGGCAGGCGGTGATGAGAGCTAACACTCCGATAGCAAACAATGGTGAATTGAATTTTAAATTCATAATGACATTTGACCAATCCATTCTTTTTACTTGCACCAGACGTGGTAAAAACTTACTAGTTCACAAGGTACATTGTCTACATGACAAAATACCACCATATAGGTGCAAACATTATCTTAACTTCGAGCATGATCCGTACTTCTTCTCAAATGCTACAGGCTTGGTAGAGAATCAGCAAATACCAATTTTAGACCGGGGATTGGACCTCATCTAAGGCCTTTTATAGAAACTATAGGATTCCACTTTTATCACTTATCAGTGTTTAAAGTAAACATCTGGTGAAGAACTAAATTATTTGCATAAAATTTAACATAC